ATATATGTGTGTGTGTGTGTGTGTGTGTGTGTGTATATATATATATATATTTATACACATGTACATACACACATACATGGATACATACACACATACATGGATACATACATACATACACACAACTTCAAAATAACATAAATTCTCAACCTGTACTGAAAACAGTTTCTGCGTCTCAGCGCCACCAGCTGGTGAGAGGTGGTGACGTCAATTTGAACCCCGCCCACTGGAACCGGTACTGAAAGTATAATGGAAACACAACCTGTACCGTACCGAGTAGAGTAGAGCCGTGCTGTACTGGTACTGCAGGTACTAATGGAAAAGGGGCATTAGAGCACACTTGGAGATGAAGTGCCATGTAAACATCTTGAGGCTTGTTATTTCAGCACTGCTCCATCTTGCAACATGAGAATAGAATAGAATTCAACTTTATTGTCATTGCACATGTCACAAGTACAAAGCAACGAAATGCAGTTTGCATCCATCCAGAAGTGCTTAGCAAAAAACAAGTATCTATAGTACAAGATACAGTAAGTTGTTTTGAATATGCTATATGTATAAATATATACAGGTTAGGAGTGTACTGACTATGAACAGGTTATAAATATTAAGGGGAATAAACAGACTATATAAAAGGAAAAAATATATATAGGTATGTGTGTACTTATAAACAGTAGGTAGTAGATTATGTGCACAGTTTGTACAGTAGTGGGCTAACAGATGAAAGTGCAGGTGGTGGTGTTACAGTCCATGTGTTGTTGTCTAAAAGTTGTTTAAAAAAAGTTAAATCTGGTCCTCTGCATATAAAAAAAACAAAACAAAAACAACTGTAGAAACGTTTCGTCTCTCATCCTGAGGACTTCCTCAGTCTGAGGTGCTGTATTCAGCTCAGTCTCTTAAATAGCACCTTCTCAGAGTGGATCAACCAGTTTTGCTGCTGACAACCAAAACCAGCTGATCACATGCTCAAGAAGGACCATCAGTCTAACAATGGATCATTAGCACACTGATGGCTGTTTACTGTTCACAGAGGGCTGAGTGATACTAGCAATCACAGCATTGTAAGAGGGGGACAGTTGAACCCGGAGGCTCCACCCCTGTTTAATGATGGACGATTTCTTTTCACAAAGATGGCCTCCTTTACTCCTCTCTCAAACCATCGTTCCTCTCTGTCCAGGATGTGAACATCTTCATCCCTGAAAGAGTGACCTCTGGCCTGGAGATGAGTGTAGACTGCAGAGTCCTGGCCTGATGATGTTGATCTTCTGTGCTGGTCCATCCTTTTGGCCAGTGGCTGTTCAGTTTCCCCGATGTAAGACTGATCACCCTCCTGACACTGAACAACATACACAATATTACTCTGTTTGTACCGGGGGACTGGATCTTTGGGATGAACCAGTCTTTAATGTATTTTGGGGTTTATAAGCCACTGGGACGTTATGTTTAGAAAATAAACGTCTCAGTTTCTCTGATACTCCCTCAACATATGGAATGACCACTGGTCTGGGTCTGGGTTTCTCCTTTTCACCTGATGCTGACTGGAGTCCTGTCTGTTTTTTGAACGTCCAGAGTACCTGACAACTTTTTTTAGATGCCCTGGGACAACTTTGTTGTGATTTTGTGCTATATAAAGAAACTGAATTGAATTCAACTGCCATGCAGCTCTGTTCCCTTCAGCGCGTCCCTCTGTATTCTCCTTCGTACTTTCGCTCATGCTAATCAGCCTGATGGGCTGCATTAGCCCACGTGACCCCCTGAAAACCCACAGTGATCGGCCGTAGCTGTTCATTAAATAATCTGGCAAGAACAGCTATTCACATTTTGAAGTATCATGAGATTTTATACTGGAAACAAATGCAGAGACAGAATGGACTAAGAAGAGACGGGGCGACAGATTTAGGATTTAACACCTGGGTTACACCCTGTTAGTGTGTAGTCAGCAGGTTGGTGTGAATTCTCAGACATCCAGAGCATGACAATCTAAAGAGGTTAAACAATAGGCAGTTGTATTTCTCCTTTTCTTGTCTCTTGAAGATGTTTCACTTCTTGTTCAAAGGGCTTCTTCATTTCTGAAGTCCATTTGGTTCAGTTTAACTGCTTAGGTCAGGGGTGGTCAAACCTTTGGACTCGCGGCCACACTGAGTTCTAAAATTGGAGCGAAGGGTCAGGAACAGATGGATGGAGTGTTTGTGTGATGTCACACTCCAGCACAATAAGAGCTGCCGAGACGCTGTAAATTATGGGTGATTCCACCTTGTGCACCACTCAAGCAGCCACTAAGTCAGATTATATGATGGAACAGTGATTTTATTGACAACAATGAAATGATGGACTTTGTGGAGTCTTACCAACTTCAGGCCCAAACAACAAACAAACAAACCACTGGATTTTCTCTTACCTGAAGAAAAATCAAATGAACCAAACCAGACGTCTCTTACCTCACTGTGCTCATGGAACACAGGAGAAAGTCTAAATAAAGTGTCGGCTCACCTCCACAAACTGCTCACTAAACGTTTTACAACTACAGGATCTAAAGTTGATGACAGGTCAGCAGGTTGGGATGAAGCAGACGTGCTCCTCCTGCAGCTCCTCCTGCAGCTCCTCCTGCAGCTCCTCCTGCAGCTCCTCTGTGCAGCTCCTCTGTGCAG